GAGAGAGAGAGAGAGAGAGAGAGAGAGAGAGAGAGAGAGAGAGAGAGAGAGAGAGAGAGATGTTTGCTTGCAGCGAGGACGACGGAAAGTGTACGGCGAGAGTTCCGGGCAAAACTTAAATTGGGCAAGTGAGCAGAAATTAATAGGACGAGCAAGACACACTGTAAAGGGAGGAAAAAAACAGGACGCGAGTTGGGGGTAAACGGGACGGCAGGATAGGTGAGCGTTAAGGGGCAGGGAAAGGGGGTGGTATAGGCGGGCAGCGAAAGTGATGAAGCCCCCTGGCGTGGGGCGGGAATGGCCGAGCCCCGCCACGTCGCACCCCACCCCGCCACGCCCCGGCCGCTATTGACGTGTAGGTAGGCGTGCCGATAGTGATGATTGTGTTGAGGGTGCTATTTCAGCATCCTTGCCTCCCCGGTGTTTACAAGTCGTGCATAGCGCTCGGCAACGGGTGACGGGGGAGAGAAAAACGAGGAGGAGAAGAACGGGAAACATGCGCCAAGAGCTGTCGATCAGATCAGAGACCAGAGGTCGCAGCGAAGTACTACACAGGTGTTCTCTGAAAACACAACTGTGCATCTGACATGCGCCTGGTAGTAGTTTTACTCTATATGGTGCACACTCTTGGGAGGTTGGGCTCAAAATACTCAAAAGTTTTCGACAGTAAAGTGCTTTCAACACTGAAAAGTGTACTGAGCTTTGTTGCCGATCCCAAAGTTGAAACACGTTTAAGTGTTGAACTTAGCTCACTTTCCAGTATGGAAATATTCAGCCAAACACTTAAAATGGAGCAACGTGATGTTGAGCACATGCAAGTGCATGCGTTTCACTCTTTATTTATTAGTGTTTGGAAGTGACGAACTACAAAGACTTGGCCAGTGGTGGGCACCAGCGAATTAAGGGGTAAAATCGTAACTTGGTCGGGGTGGGGGTGAGAAAAAATAGTCCGCCAGTTGTTGCAAGAGAGAGTGGAGTGCGTTTGTGTCCGTGTGCGTGGAGGTGGAGGGGAGGTCAGTAGTATGAGGGAGATTGGAGTGGGACGGGCCATACGGGGAAAGGGAGAGGAGGGGTGGGGTGGGAGGTGGGAGGGGCCATCGTGATAGTTAGTGCCCGGGGGGAAAATGAGACGCTCAGGTGTCGTTTTCACGACATCCAAACCGGACGGGGCGGGGTAGAAACTTGCGTCAGGGGAAATATAACAGGGAATAACAGACACGCGGGCAAAGCTTCGTCCTCCTTCCTGGTGCAACGCACTCCGACGCAGTCTCACACAAACAACAGTCGAAGTTGTACTGAGTCACTGAGTCACTGTCAACTAGACCTCGCTCACTACTAGTTCACTAACCAGCTCACTTGACACGCGGGGATGGGATCGTCTCTCCTTTACTAAGTCACATGACCTAGCTCACGGACTGGCTCACAAACTGGCTCGGCGGCTCACTTGATTCACTGTCTCATTGTCTCACTCCCTTTCTCTCTATCGCTCTCACCCTTCCGCACTCGGTCACTACTTCCTAATGGTTGCGCCCCGAGGCTCTCGAGAGAGATAGAGATAATAATCGCGTAATGACGAATGGTCGTCACCGTCACCTCATCGGCCGTCACATGTATGGGCAACGATTATACGGCGGGTAAACGCGCGCCGTCTCGGGGGACGCCCATCCCCCCCCC